AAAAACGAAAAAACCTCCTCTTAATTGGCATAAGATTGACTTAGAGATTATATATGTGCAGTTATATGTACATGAAACCACGCCCACAAAATAAAATGATAAATAAATAAATGAATAAATAAACAATCATGGATGGATGGTTAGATGGATGGGAAATAGAAAGTGGTGGAGCGTGTTTTTGTTTTGAGGCTATGACTCAGCATTTATGTCAAGTGCTTATAAATAATTTAAGTTTCTTAAACAGGATGTATTGGTGTGGCACGTTGGAAACAACGCCTTATTTGTATTATTTATGTTAGTCATGAGAGGTGTGTGTGTGTGGCAGAGGGGATTTGATCGTATAACTGACTAAAATGAACGGAAACAGAATGGAAAGAAATGCAAATGAAGTATATAGAGTTAAGAGAGTTACTAGGCGTAGTTGTACACCTTCGTCAACCTGAAAACAGTTGGGAAATCTTCTGCACTCAGCCAGCATAAACAATAAGATTCGGATTTTCAAGCGAAATGTGAAATCAGTCATTTCTTCCATATGGGTCAGAAACTTGACTAGCGTGTCATGGAAAGCATTTCCAACAAGCTACAGACTTTTATCAACATCTGCCACCTTCGCTGGCTCCATACTCAAGATCAAATGGCTGACTGGCTGGCCAGAAAGAATTATCAACAAGAAAATCTGGCTGGGAACAAACAAACTAAGAGCCGATCGCTCAACAAATATGTGGGAGAACATGAGGATGCTTTGAGGAATACGTTGAGGCGGCTGTCGAATAAAATCGCGCTCAATGCAGACAAATCGCAAAAGTGGAATCCCAGTGGGAATCGACGAGTGGGTGGTCGGCGCGAGGGTGATATGGGGGAGATCGTGCGAGTCCGAGTAGGAGATGAGAGATTATGGACAATCTTGTGACCAACCAGCTGAAGAGGACAGCAGAAAATAGAAGAAAGCGGAGATGTGTTGTTGAAGCTGTATGTTCCACTTGGAACTCAAGGGAGTAATAATAAAAATACTAAGCGTAGTTCAACTATCAAGCTTAGTAGCTATTGAATACAGTGTCACACATACTTATTCGTTGATGCCTTTCACCATTCAGTCATATATTATTTCATCACTTCTAATGGCACATGCAAACACACACACATGATCAATGTTAGTACTTACTATACAGGCTGTAACGCACCTACACATAACAGTGGAAAATTGACAGATTTCAAATATTTAACAGTTACAGAACTCATTGAACATTATAAATAAATACAAAAAGGTAAAAAAAATATTTCAGTTTTCAACCTCTTAAATAAAAAACCTTTAAAATATATATCAAATAATGATAAAGTTAAATAGTTTTTAAAAGAAAGCTAAAATCACCGTACTGATAAAAATGATTTCCTCTGTTCAGTTTTGTTTGAGATCACTATTACAAATTTAAATTTTTAGGGTTTTGTAGGAATTTTATCGAATTTAAGACAAATTTTTTTCTCACTAAGCAACTAACATCACTTTAGCACGCCAGTAATGGCAAATACTTTTATTTAATTTAAACTAACATCACTCGAATTAGGCTATATCATGATAAATAATACAACTAAAAGGGGAAAAAACACGCAAACATAGAAAATTAGAGTTTTAAATAGGCTTACATGAACTAACTACTTTAACCATTCTGACAATATGCACAACATTCGGTTAGTTATATCATAACTTTACAAAAGATATAAGTCGAAATGGTAAAATTTCTATAAAATAACGTATAAACAGAAAAAATTGTTTTAAAAATGAAATGACGTTGAAGTGTAGCTCATCCACTTAAGCATTAGGATTCCAGTAAATGAGCCCCTGGTTGGAATCTCATTACAGAGTGAGAACCTGTGCAATTCTATCAGCCCACTAAAAAAATAAATGTAGCTTATTGCCAAATATAAAAAGGTTTGTTCAGAATAATGTATTCTAAGTGATGGAAAGTCCAAAACCGGGGCGAAACAGCTGTACAGTACTTCTGGGTTTTCCAGGGGTTCTCTAACTGATGTCAGTTCATGATGAAGTCCTCCAACTAATTCAAATAAAATCAGTAGGTATTCATTCATTGTATCATTGGTGAAAATATGAATTGATATGTAGGCCGGTAGGTCTAAACTCCTCAGCTTCTCAAGTCTCTTATGAGTTCTAAAAATGAAGTATTACTCGGGAAAAGGTCAATTAAATTCTTATCTAAGTTATCTTTTCTCTTCGGATACAACCTCCTTGAGTTTTAGTACAGTTATTTAAATATTAACCTTGAATAATTGGGAAATGATTAAATAACTTGAGTTTACCTATTTATAGCTTGATAAGGGATAATATGGACTTAATTACTTCTTTTGTTTATAACCTAAACTATAACAAAGCCAAACAACTAGAAAATACCTTTTCAAGTTAGGTATGAGGACAAATACTCGCCGATGACAGTGGCTTGCGGTCAAGCAACATACATTGTGAATTAGCAGAAGTTAGAATTGATGGAACATTGCAGCCCGCCCCAGTGTTTGAATGATCAGCAAGCTGACACAGTAATTAGAAGGCTCTGAGTAAGTACTTCTTGCTAATGCTTTTATCGAGTTGATAAGTAGTCATGGAAACGAAAGCATAGAAGACATTTTTATCTAAGTGGTCCCGTATTTTCTTCCCATTGATCAACTCATATGAAGTCGAAATCCTATGGAGTTTGAAATGACTGGTACTAGTTTCTAGTTACAGTGGGGACACTAACACATTTAGCTGATGAGCAGTAAAGAGAGTGAAATGCACACCCTGATTTCTACCGTTAGCCGCCATTGACTAAATAATACGGTGTGTGTGTGGGGGGGGGGGAGGTTGCATAAGTCAGAATAATGCGAGTGCTTAAAAGTTAGGATTTACTAGGTGGATACTCTTGAAATAAAATGATAAAATGAGCAGGTTTCAAAATGTGCACAAAACAATCTTTAGTTGCACACAGTATGTTAGCGAAAAGAACTCACATAACTACAAGTATATTAAAAGTAAGATAAACGAAGTTCAGATTAACATCGAATTTCTTATTATTTAAGCTAGAACCAGAAATAAGACAAGATTGAATGACGCAACAAAATGTTTCCTTATTGAACCTTGTTCTGTAAACTGTAATCACTATGACAACTATTTAGAATTTGCAAAATTATAAAAACATTGGCTCATATTATACTACCATATTTATTATTTGTAATTCATGATTTATTTCGGTTGACATTGGAAAGAATTGTTTAACTGAATTTTTAATTAGAAAATCTAATCTTATAGAAAAAGTCAGGTCCATAAGAAAAGTTACATAGTGAAAAACAGAAAGGTAGTATATTGGATGTTGTAAAATACACCATGATTCATATTAGGTGGTTGGTGGCAATCAGCAGGAAGCCTTGACACTCATCAGCCAGTAAGGCGTATCTGTAACCTCAAAGGAACTCATGTCCTTCTCTTCTGAGATTCAAACCCAGGTCACTCAGTGGTGTTGCAGTCAGAGACGTTACTGCTGAGCTGTTTGGGTTCGCGATTGACCTCTTGTAGGACTGCGTTGGATACTTTGGTTGAATAGTAGTTAGCAACTACTGTGATGTATCTAGTCCTCTGTTTAGTGCAAACTGAGTTCTATCCGTCATTTTTGCATTGTGGCCGCCATGTTGCACTGTAAATGGTTGATATTAGATGGTTGAAGACATTCGGAAGGAAGCCATAAACCTACAGGGGGTCGATCGCGAAACCGAATAGCTCAGTGGTAGTGTCTCTGACTACAGCACTCGGTGACACGGGTTCGAATCTCAGAAAAGGAGGACATGAGTTCCTTCCAGGCTGCAGATACACCTTGCTGACTGGTTTTTTGCCAGTGCCGATTGCCTTTAACCATATAATACCAACAATTCAAAGTGCACCATGATGGTAAGCTACCTAGAATGGTGGCCACATTGCGAACCTGACTGATAGAATTCAGTCTGCACCGAAGAAAGGACTAGACACATCACACTAGTTACTAGTGTCTAATCAAAGTATACCATGAATAAATTAAACATTTATTTCTTAAATATACTTCGTTTTGATGAGAAATGGTGTAACAATGACCTCAAAACTTCATTTAATATGAAATTATAAGATAATTCTGAAGAGCACTTACTTAGGTCCAGAATTACAAGCTTTTCATGAACCGTAACAATTTTCAGACACATCCATCTGCATAAGAAGGTGTATGATTGTTTCTTTTTTAGAAGCTATCTAACTGAAGTATTAATCAATGCGTCTCATTCATAAGCACAACCAGTTGTAATGCAATTATATTGAGTTTAGAAGTGAATATGAAGCCAATGTTGTATTTGCTACTCTATGTGATATATTTCAAAGTTATGACCTTAAAGAACTTGTAAAAGATCGCTCAGTTAGATATGAATTAGTAAAACTAACCTTTGCACAACTCAATCACTTACATGTCTACAAGAAATGTTTGTCATGAGGGTGATTGCTGATCCATGCATGAGTGATTGTCCTAGAAGTGTAACTTATTACAACCGTGCGAAAAGTGTTTTTAAAAAGATATTGAATATCATGAATTTCCTGTACTTATCAACTAGGTATTTCATACTGAAACTGACCACTCAATCACAAAAGTAAACACAACATAGTCGGTGGAAGTAAAATTATGGTTAAAATAGCTCGGTAGAAATACAATTCCAGGCTAAACTATTATTTCTTGACGATGCAGTGAATTTTCAAGAGTTGCTGGACCATTCATTTGGGTCCCAGTGGCTGAATAATATACGAGCTCGCTAGCCTTGAAACCGGAAGGTCCTGGGTTCGAACCGTGTTGGTGGGTGCATACTGCCAATGATATCCAAACTAGGATGGGGGGGGAAATCTGTCCAGTACTCCTTGCTGGTTTTCAGTGGTTCTCTAACTGATATAAATCCGTGGTCACACTCGAAAAAAGATATAGTGAATACGTTTTTAAAAAATAACTCACCACATATCTGTAGCAAATGTGATAGGATCATAGTTGATAATTTCTGGAGCTAAATAAACAAAAGTAATAAAAAAGAGGAAGAAGACATGAATACGACATTATTTTTAAAAGCAAATACATTTAAGCTTTTATCGCTCTAATTCAAATTCCTTGTGAAAGATTATACCGTACCTTTCAATAGCAGATGAAGTGGTATACATACTTAGGATCTGCTGGATCTGATCATATATATGTCAGTGGCTCAAAAAGCTTGCCAACAACTCTGGAAATCGAGCTTCGACTCCCGTTGGATTCTAACAAAAAATGATATCATTAGGTTTCTGTGTGCGAACTTAATGAGAAACATTGAAAACATTTTCTTTGACTTATTTATATCGGATGTGAAATCTTGTATTTACTATTGTTCAGTTCTTTGTGTTCCGAGGAGGACATAGGACCTCGGGAGGATATCTCCGTTGTTCTGTACAGTCACTTGCAAATGGTTCTATATCTTCCTCCCCAGTCTTGATCTCCTCCACACAGTCCTCTGACCCTCAACTCGTCGCTTCCTGTTGGATTCCACTCGACTGTTGGCCTAGAATGTACTGTCATTTACTTTTTTCTTTTCTCCATTTCCTCTTGCATATTTGTTGATTAATAGATTCCTCACCAATCCTTCGCCAGAGTTCCTTGTTGCTTATCCTTTTTGATGAATATCTGCAGCCTGTTGTAAGGGCTTCTGGTGATGCTTGCAACAGACCTGTGAGTCATATGGAAGCTATGACTACCTTAACATTAGTACTAAAAATTTGGATTTGTTCTTTGCTGTGCGCGATATATATATTTCCACACTTATTTCAGAGTGGTAAACACTTGTCTAGCTTTCCCGATCCTGTCTGCCTTTGAAGTCCTCGTCGGTACCACCTTTGAGAGCTATCCAGTTAATAATGCCCAATCAAGCTTTTTTTTAAAATACCCAGTTATTTACATTCTGTCAAACCTACATCTACAAAGACGTTTCCACTTTGTTAACTACATAAGTAGCTATTTTCTTGAACCACAAGGGATGAAGTTATCGACCTCTAAGAGTAACATTCATGCACACCAAAGCTGACTTTATAACTGAAAAGTAACCTTTGTTATACGGTCCTATCCTGGCTGATGACTGAATGCTACTGACCGTATATGAACTGTGCCTATAAAGCTAAGAGACTAATTAATGGACTGTCCTTTTACTAACATAAGACAGCAAGAGGCAGGAAGATTTGCTTGATCTTTATACCATACTCATCGTCACTGGTTAGCTAGGTGTATCTTGACCCTCAACAGAGGAGACCTGTTACCTAGATGGAAACAGTAGTTGATTTACTTTCTCCTTTCTTAAATGGTCCTCACTCACCCTGAGACTATGTGTAGACTTGACTGATAAGTGCCGGCAAGCACGCATCCTGCATACCACCTTTAACCACTTTATAATGATCATAAGCGTTAAAACTCATGATCAAGTGTAATTATTGTAGAGTTTGAATAATGCAAAACTGAACGTATTATTTTGACTCATTAATATACAGATCATAACAAAGAGATTACAGAAGTGAATAACCATGCATCCGTTACATGATATTAATAAATTAAGCATTAAATGCGGGTATAGGTTAAAAAGAAGCTATTTCGTTTAATCTCATTAATAGATGTTTGATAAACAACCCGTATTTTTGAAAGAGAATGAAAAAGTTTTCTAACTTTATCCGCTGAAACTTCAGTTACCTAATAATTCCTGTAGCACACAAATATAAACAAAGCCGGATGGAAAGCCTCATATACAACAACAACTCAACTGCAAACAAGGTTCATATTTTCGTAGAAATCCAGTAAAAATCTCCGCACATGAAAGCCACGGTAAAAGCAGTAACTAAAGTAGATTATAAAGTGTTGCATTGCAGGGATTCGATTGGTTACAGGATTTCATCATGAGCTGATATCAGTTAGAGAACCACTGGAAAACTGCACAGATGTTTCTTCTTGGCTTGAGACTCTTTACTAGCACACACCTACCAAGGTTCGAATCCAGGACCTTCTGGTTACGAGGTGAGTTCCTAGACCATTCAGCCACTGGTATCCAACCCAATGGCCTCGTAACTGGAAGGTCCTGCATCGAACCTCGGTGGGTGCGTGCTAGCACAAGGACCTCCAGGTAACAAGGTGGACTCGTTGATCACTCCGTCATTGGGAGGAATTCAATGATCTATGAATTCCAACTTCAGTTGATTCGCGCTTTATAGCACAACCGAAAACCAATGTCATCACTGAGTATGTATCCTAGCTGGCCACGACTTTTCACTAAACATTTCAAGCAACTTTGTAGCGTGTGCGATTTACAAGATTTACCAGTAGTATATAGAAGCCAACTGAGAGGAAATAGCCAAAATTCAAAACAACGTTTTAAGTTGATTGCTACAGAAATAAACGTGTTTATTGCTAAAATCTGGATTTCGCATACACCGTGGTTAGAAAATCTAACTGGACAACATTTTGCCCCAACCTTTAACCTTCGGAAAATCAATAACCAACCAGAACAGTTCATAGTCGGCTAACCTAGTCGACTTTAAATGTGGCTAAAAATGTATAAATATGATGTGTTTTTGCAATTAATAGTGTTCTCTGAGCTGGTTGGTTTAGTTGCGAAGCTTTCGTCGTCCTTCTGGACGACGGGTTGCAAATCATCCATCTGAGCTACAAATCTTCTCTATTATGATGTGTTCTTCCCTAATGAGAGAAGTTCATTACTAAGTCCCTTGTCCTCTCCTGTTACAACTTCATCTTGTAATCGGTCACCAGTGAGCACTAGATTAATTTCAGAGTGTTGGTTTGCAGGTATTATTTAATGAGATTTGAAGATTAATCACGAACTGATTGAACTTAGAAACTAACATGAACTTAAATTCCAAAAAAGCACTATTTAAGAAGTGAAATTTAACAAAGAGATGCTAATTTTTTTAACTCACAACAAGAACAACAATACTGACAACCATACTGATGTAATAGAAATAAATCAAAAAGAGAAAAAGAAAAGAAAAATCGAATAAACAAGTCTCACACAACTAAGGGAGCTCACTCACTGATTCTCTTAAATACACATTCTTTTAATCATGCCAGTAAAATAAGGAGAGCTTGACACTGAAATATGATAGGCATATTATTATTGTAATCTGTCAATGACACCTGACAAATGAACTCAGGTATTATTACATTCCAGAGTGTCAACCGGAAGTTACACACGAATATTTGTATATATATATATATATATGATCCCTTCTATTTTATGAAAAATATGAGATCTAAGTAGCCATCACTTGTGACAGTGAAATATAAACCTAGAAAAAGGAAGACCTCATAAATTTCTTTTCGTCTTCCTTTACAAGAGCATCTAAGCACATAGATATATGGCTGTTTATCATAATATTTACCCTGTTAACAATATATTTTTCGTAAATATAAACAATGTATCTATATTATACATATAGGAATGAGTATGTGACGCATCTGAAGGTGAAAGGATGAAAAGATAAACAAAGTGGAAGAAATCACTTGTTGCTACCGTGTCATAACAACGACGATGACCATGTTGACGATGGCGATGATGATGATGATTGTGGTGATAATAAACATAAGGATGACTATTTTTGCATTGATTATTTTTCGTTTAACCCTTAATATACTACTTAGTATAGTCATTCAAAGAATACATTGATGTGTGTGTGTGCGTGCATGTTAAGAAATTGGTGTATATTGTGCAAAATTTATTTCCTACAAGGCACCAATAAATGAAGTAAAATAAATCAGTGTAATGATGATGATTATGATGATGGCGTGTGTAGAAAGTAAATAATAAGGTTTTGTAGAAGCACAAAATATAAAAAATAAACACACTTACTTTCAGTAGTTGGTTTGTAAGGATTAGATTTGTTCTGACGAGTTGATCATGGATTGATATCAGCTAGAGAAGCATTGAAAGCCAGCAAGGAGTACTGGACAGCTGTTCCGCCCCCCTCATCCCGGTTTGGGACTCATTGGCAGTACGTACCCACCAACAAGGTTATAACCTAGGACCTTTGGGTTACAAGGCTAGCGAGCTCGTATACCATTCAGCCACTGGGACCCGATTCAATGGCCAGTCCATGAATTCTAACTTCTACCAATTCGTGATTTAGCGCGACCACCAACCAATGTCATCGGTTGGACATCCATCCTCACATTTGACTGGGTGGAGCTCAGTGGTCACGACTTCTCACTAGGACTGCAGGAAACTCCGTCCTGTAGCAAGTCACTAGCGATGAATATGTGACTGATAGCAAAAACAAATTTAACTCCCTTCTGTGTCCGTCTACTTGAATGGGTAGAGCAAAGACAGTCACATTCGATTTGAATTTCCTTAGATAGTTGGTCTTACAGGATTTTGTATAATGTGCTTAAAGTAATACTGTAATTATATCAGATGTCACATTTAACCTCATCGATTCCTTTTTCACACAGTTGGAATATCTGTTGTGGAGTTCACTATACTGCATGAGAAAAAGCCTTGTGATTACTTTTATCCTCAGGCGTCACTCTGTTTCTAAGAATTTAATCAGGAGTCTGTGATACACTAGGAAAAACTAGATTTTAACAGCTGTTCATTTATTATTTTTTAAGATGATGATATATTATTTTCCATTTCTATGTTTTAAAAATCTTTAAATTTTATTTCTTTACTCCAAATTTAACTCATTCTCAAGTGGAAGTAAAGTTGTCGCATTCTTCATACTTGTAAGTAAACTGCTTTCCGGATCATGTAACATTTCCCTGCTTGCTTTTTAACGTGTAATATTTGATGTAGTGAGAATATTGTTGTGTTTTATTTCATTTTTGATCATGGTTGGACATCAGTTACAGAAGCACTAAAAGCCAAGGGTAACTGTTTCATCTCAGCTTGGGACTCTTCATCAGTACGCACCCATGGGATTAGGTCCCAGTGGCTTAATGGTCTACGAGCTCGCCTTGTAACCAGAAGGTCCAAGGTTTGAACCCCAG